AAAAAAAAAAAAAATATATATATATATATATATATATATATATATATATACTCAGTTTTGGCTTAATTACAGCTCTGAATATGTTTTTTCATTAGTCTGTATACTTCAGTTAATGACTACTAAATTAGTTGACAATTATTTCAATCTAGTTAAGAAACAATAGATGCAATCCTAAACATATTTTTTAAAAACTATGTATTGTAAAATTGTAGACTTCTAAAATAAAAATTATTAATATCCACAAAAACAATCTTTGCATTAAAAGGGACCTATTATGAAAAATAGGTCCCTTTTTTGACTCTTCCGTTTTTGTCTCTACTGCTTCCAAAAACAGCCAATGATCTTTAAAAGAAAATAACAGACATTTTCTGGCAAAATGTTTTTTGGTGTATGGAAAATGAGCCATTTCAAAAATTTTCCAATTATTAAATCACAACCTCGAGTCACTTCGCTGTTACCTAGCAACCCCAGCTGAGCCCAGCCCCGTTACCTAGCAACCAAGCAGAACTCCAGCATGTTTGGAAAAGACAAGTTTGGACTCAGGTTTGAAGATGTACGGTTGTATAGCTGCGCCTCTGTTTGCAGCCATTTTCACATTTCGAGTGTAAACGTTGAGATGGGGGCGTGGCCAGGTGCAGCTTGTCTGGATTTAAAGAGACAGAGCTGAAAATAGGCAGAAGGGACTAAGCTAAAATTTTATTATCTAAGAGTAATTTGTGAATGTTTGGTACAGCCCAGACACCCATTCCAACTTGTTCAAGCAAGCATAATAGGTGCATAATGAAGCTTTTAGTTTCATCTTTACTCATTTAACCAATTCTGTGTAACTTTGTTCTGTGAACGGAAGATGGTGATCTTATCCCCACTTTATTTACTTCTGCTGATGCAAACAAAACACAGATTCATGACTCAGATGTGGATTTCCCCAATGCTGCTCTCCGTCACCACGTCTATGGCGCCTACCATCCCGTTCATCCCTGACTTCCTCCCCTGCAGCTCCAAATCCAGGTTGACACAATTCTGGATCACCTCGCCGTGCTTCTGAAAAGCTTTCTTCTTCGACCTCGGGGGCGTCACCGGGGTGACGGTGTAGTCCTGCCGTCTGGCCGCGCATTCCTTCACCGCCTTCACGAACAGGTAGAGCAGCTCGGCGATGCTGAGGGCGAGCGAGACAGCGGCCGCCACCAGCATGAACCAGATGATGACGGATTTCTCGGTCGGTCGGGACAGGAAGCAGTCCACCTTGTGAGGGCACGGGGAGCGAGAGCACACGTACTGGGGCTTCAGGGTGAAACCATACAGTAGGTACTGACCCACGATGAACACGGCCTCCAGAACAATTGTGGCAATGAGATGCAGCACATAACTGCGGAGGAGGCGACCGCGGATGCTGATCTTCCCACTGCTTTTTGTGTACTTGGGAACCTTCAAGGTCCTCCTGAGGAAGAGACTCACTTTGTCGTCCAGCTCTGCCTGGTTCTCCATCCTTTCCTTCATTTAATGTTAAAGAATGAGTCAAAGTCAGACATTTTAACTTTAGTGTCCACTAAACACCATGTGGGTTTAGCGTTAGTGGAACTAACATTTATGATCAGTGCTTTAGTTAGCATTGCCTACTGTTGTTCCTCATAATTAGCACTAGCTGGTTTGGCAGAAGCTCACCTTCTTTTCAATGTGAATCACGTGGAGGACATGGCCGAGGTACAGCAGCTTTGGGGTTGCCAAGGCGATGATCTGAAGGACCCAGAAGCGGACGTGAGAGATGGGGAAGGCGACGTCGTAGCAGACGTTCTCGCATCCCGGCTGCTGAGTGTTACAGATGAAGTCGGACTGTTCGTCGCCCCAAACCTGGGTAGGATCAGAGGAAGAACCAAGTTATCGTGTTTTTAGATATTCTGGAACTGATAGGCTCTTTCAAGATGTCTTTTCATGTAAAAAATTGATTTATTGAGTTGGAAACTATGTACTTTTTTCCATTTTCATGTTCTGTGTCTGACTAGACCTTTTCAGCAGCAGTTTGCAGGACCATGATCCGGAAAATGAACAGAACGGTGAGCCAGACCTTCCCGATCATGGTGGAGTGGCTCTGCACTTTCTCCAGCAGCCGGCCCAGTAGGTCCCATTCTCCCATTTCAGCTGGCAGCTACACCACCTTCTGCATCAGAGACCCAGGAAATCCATGAAACACACAGAAACAGCATTTCATCACTAAACATCATCTGCACCAAGGGTGTTCAACCTGCGGCTCCGGAGCCACAAGAGGCTCTTTGGACGTTCTGCAGTTTAAACTGATGAAATAAAATGTTAATATATAAATATATTTTATATAAACTTAATAACAAATGCTGGTTTAAGCAACTTTTATGTTATAAATTAATAGTCCATAGCAGAACCACACTAAAAATGCCAGTGGTTTTGTTTTAGATCTATTTTTTTGTCTTTAAGTTGGAAACTGTTTTTTTTGTCTTTTATGTCCCATAAATTTTAGCATTCCAGAAAAAAAATGTAGGGAGCTAAATTAGGGTGGTGAAGTTTGTTCAAAAATTTAAAAATGTGAAATTGAAAACAAAGATTTGAAACTAAAATAAAAAATGTTCTGAACTCTTTTCTGATCTAATGTTGTTTTTTTCATTTTTAAAATTTTTTCAGTTTCAGTTTAAAAAAAAACTAATTTTATGGCACCAATGTAGCTTCACAGAAACATATCCATGCTTTTCTGCAAAGTTGTGTTTTACTTTATTTCAAAATAAAAAAGAGGCAACAAATTTCCAGAAATATTTTAAAAATTTGACGTTTTGTGTGATTTTAAAAATTCTTTTAACAATTTTACTTAAGGCAAATTTGGAGTGTAAAGGTTGCAGACCTCTGGATTTAATTTTATGCCACCATTATTTTACAATATTACAAAATAAATGCCAAAAATTGTGAAAAAGATTTAATTTCAGGACATGTTTGCGAAGTTATATCTGTTTTTTGGACTCGCTGTGGTTCCTGTAAGTAGGTAAAAAGTGAATCTCTCAGAAGGTCAAGCTTCTATCATTTCTCGCTGCCTTCCAGATAAATCCACAGCTGCAGGCTTCAAACATAAACACACTAATAATCACAAATCTTAAATTACAGAAACTTAAATACCATGCATATAGTTTCAGATAATACTTTTACTTTTATAAAGTCTGTTTTCATTTAATCAGATTTCACTTTTATTTTGGATGTTTAGAATGAAGTATACACATAAAAATGAACGTAAAGCCTTAAAATATCAGGAAATCCAGTTAGAGATGATTGAAAACTTAACTAAACTTTCTGTAAAGAGAGAAAATCAACTCACCTGGTGGAGAAACTATAAAAATGGAGGAAATGTGGATGGAGGAAAGAGCGAATGCTGCAGTAAATGAGAGAAGAAGAAACTGTGTCATGGTTAATTCGCTGGCTTATCTGGAAGGACGCCGTCCGAACCACAACAATGGAGCCACAGCTGAAAGTGAGCAGCAGAAACATGAAGCTTTTTTCTTTTATTCAACTTTCCCTTGCAAAGCTACTCATATCACATTTTTATTATTTTTGTCACAAACTGTAGCATAACTGTGACATGATACATGTTTATCAATTTTAAAAATGAACTAAAAAGTGCGGTTTGCATTTGTATTCTGTCTGAATGATCTTCTAACAGGGTTTAACATCTGGAGACTGAAATATTCAGTCAGACTGGATGAGCTGTAAGTCATTTTGATCTAAACCATTCCAGTGGTGTTCAAAGTGTGGCCCGGGGGCCATTTGTGGCCCTTGAAATGACTTTGTTCTGCCCCTGACCACGAGTCAAGGATGATAAAAATTTGGCCAACAAAATAGAAAACAGTTGATGACCCCATAAATGTGGAAATTGTGTTTTTCTTTTAATAAGGCAACTGTCCGAAGCTGTTTTTATGTTTTGGATCTTTAATGACACACAGATCTCATAAAATATTGTTGCGAAAGTAAAAACATATTACAATAAACTAATTTTTGAATTTTTAATTTAAAGATTTTTGTGGCCTACCGGTAGTTTAGGTCAGCCATTTTTCTTCCCCACATCATGATGCTGCCACCACCACATTTCGTGTTTAACTTGTGTAAAGCCTTGATAAGTATATAAAACTGAAAGATATGTAAAATAAAACTGAATAGCAAGAATATTTATAATGTAAGAACAAAAACAAATCTATGAATCTATTGGAATGAAACAAAAAAAATACATATATTAAGCTGATTACCCAGATAGCACATGATGTTAAATCAACGTTGAAAAAT